GTGGGTAAAAGTGAGATTTTAATGATATTGAACACCATTGGTTTGCTATCAAAAACAAAGCTGGAAAGAACGTTCCTATTTTCAAATCTTTTCGCAAGCTGTTGATTATGCTTTCATATAACCCGTTCGGACTATTATATTAGATGCTATAGCCATAATACTCCCCTCAATACTAGCCTACAAATGGTTGTTCTTGCTTTTGCTGTTTTATTCCTGAAAAGATTATGAATAGGTTCTTGGACATCCAGAGGAATTATTCTTTCTTCTCTCGTCTTCTGTACCCACATGTGATGGACTCTTTTTTTGATCGGATGTTTGTTGCTCCGGGTCTTTTGGTGGTTGTTGCTCCAAGTCTTTTAGCAGAATCTCGTTAATATCATTGATAATAGACTCTTCCCAATCTTTTGATTGAACTTCCTGTGGTGTATAGCTTAAATTATCCGTAGTGCTTGCAAATAGACTGCTTATGGCTTTACCTGTAGCAATCATCAGACCAATAACACCAAAAATTATCATTATCTGGCTAACCTCAATAAATATTGCTGTCACAACAAAAATAAAAATAGGTAGAAAGACTCTCACAAGTACATCAGTTACTAATTCTGTATCGCTTTTTTGTGGTTCATTCTTTTCTTCTTTGTTTCCTAAAAATGGAACTTTATTCAATACTCCCTTTTTAATAGAGCTAGCAACGTTCTTGGGATCTATTTTTATTCCAACAAACCATCCAAGACCTTGTATCAATGAATCGTTACGTTGCGTATCACGTGCATCACTAATGCACTCATTCACTAATTTTTGTATTTTTTTATTTGTTAAGTTTTCTTTACTTGCCAAGTTTCCTACCTTTATTCCTTTAAATACAGCAAGTAAAAATTGACAAAAATTTTCTTCACTTAGTGGTTCTACCTTTTCTAGATCAACACCCTTAAGTATATTATCAGAATTACCGCATAAAAAAGTAGCAACTTCTTTTCCTATTGGATCTAATGTGTCAGATTTCAACGCACGTAAAAATGCACCATAAATTAGCTCATGCTCTTCCTTGAAATCTTTTTGCTGAACTGTTCTCTTATGTTTTTCATTGGAAGCCTTAGCCTCCTGAGCTGCATGAAGAGCTTTTTTTAGATCCG